CCCCCCCCCCCCCCCCCCCTACACCCCCAAGTCCAAGTCCTACATCCCAAATCATAACCATGCCCGCCAGCCAACCCACCCCCCTCAAAGGAAAGAGCACAACAAGAAAGCAAAATAAGTTCGTGGCTTTGGTAGATGATGAAAATTGCATGGGGCTTGCAGGGCTGTATATAAGCCTAATTGCTAAGAGGCGCTGCGGAATATTAGACTATTAGCAGCGGTGATATATACTCTAGGTTCCAAGTCAACCCGATGAACACTGCTGCATAAGCATAAACATGTATACCCATAGGCCCCGTAATAGTTCCTTTTGGGGATTACCTAATAGGACCCTAAGTCTAATCCACAAAAAGGAACTACTATGGGGCCTATGGGTAAAACTGAACCCTGAGTAAACCCTCAACCCTAGACCCTAAACCCTAAATCCGAACCCCTAAACCCCAAACCCGAAACCCTGAGTAAGGGATGAATTTGTTTAATCAGCTCGTTTCGGGCGAGTCCTCGAGCTGCTTCAGCTGCTCCTCCTTCCTGCCGAACTCAGGAAGCATCCTGGGAACTCTCGCGGTGTCGAGGTTTAAAGTTTAGGGTTTAGGGGCTTGCTTTAGAGTTTAGGGTTTAGGGGTTGGGTTTAAAGTTTAGGGTTTAGGGGCTTGCTTTAGAGTTTAGGGTCTAGGGGTTGGGTTTAGGGTTTGGGGTTTAGGGGTTGGCTTTAGGGTTTAGGGTTTAGGGGTTGAGGTTTAGGGTTTAAAGTTTAGGGTTCCCTTAAAAGCATCTGCAAACTTTTTCGAAGAGTTCGTAGCAGGGGGGCCCCGATCTTGCGGCTTTGGGGCTCTAGGGTTCTTAAGGTGCGTTGGGGTTTGAAGGTCTCCGGTTTTCTTGAGGGGCTTGCTGTGTTGGGGGTTTAGGGCTTTGGGATCAGGTGCTGGGACTAGGATCTGAGAGCTGCTTCTTTTGAATAAGAGGCTACAAAATTGTAGAGCTTCGAGCTTTGGGATTCATGGCTTCAGGGTTTAGGGCTTCATGCCAAGTAAAGGGATGTTCGTCCCAGCTTGCTGGATTAAATTACGGTTTTGGGACAAGCTGTCGTAAGGCCGGCATGCACCAAGTTCGATTAAACACAGGTGTGTTGGCGGTCTGGATAGGCCCATATCCCGAAAATCGATCATCAACCCAGAGCTTTACGTCCCAAACTTCCAACCTTGAAGCCAGTACAACCCCGATTCATTACGGCACGATTTCGGAGCTCCACAGTAAGAGTAACAGTAGTAGTCATAGTAGTAGTGGTAGTGGCGGTGGTAGTAGTAGTAGTAGTAGTAGTAGTAGTAGTAGTGGTGCTGGTGGTAGTGGTAGTAGTCGTCGTCGTGGTGTCTGCGGCGGTGGTGGTGGTGGTGGTAATAATGACAATGGCGACCCTAGTCCCGGTATGCAGAATGTTAACAGCACTGGTAATAGCGCACGTTAGTATACAAAAAGCAGTGCTGTGTCGGCGTCGGCATCGGCATCCTCGTCGGCGTCAGGAGCCGCCGACGCAACATCAACAGTATCAGAGAGTAATGATGGCAAAGCTCCGCATAGCTCCACCAGATACAGTATCTATATATTGTAATTAGGGGCCTTAATAAGTAGCATAGGATTTTGCTCTAATTATTGAGGCCCTTATATAAAATGGAGGGGTTGATGGTGGTACTGGCCACAAGTCCGGCACAACTCTCTTCTGAAACCTTAAGGAATCCTTAGACCAAGCCTTCCCTCTTTTAATATTGGCAAGCCTGGCCGCTGGAAGTTAACCGAAAGCCACACAATCAAATCCAAAGCCAAACCTCGGACTGAAATCTCTTACCGTTTTAGTATCGGCAACTTGGGCCCTTGCCGGAAGGCATCAAGCACGCCTGTTTGGGGACGAGGCAATCATGGAACTGGGCTGATGCTGCGGGCTTCTGAGTTAAAGGAAACTACAGGTGGGGAGCTTAGGATCTATACGGCTTCTGTAAGGCTTCCATAAGGTATATATAGACCTTCTATACGGCTCCTATAACGGTAACTACCCACCTGAAAATGTCCTAGACTGAGGCGACTCTCTGAAACCTTACAGCCGAATAGCCAGCCAGCCCCAGTTAGCACACCTCTGCACATCCCACCACTAAACCCCTAAAACCTTAAGTCTAAACCCTACCATCCTGCAGCCCTCAACACCTAGAATCCTAATCCCTCACATCCGAAGGAGGCCCTAAAACCTTACAGGGAACTCCAAAAAGACGCCCAAGAGACCTGTAAACTCTAAACCCCTAAACCACCGCAAAAAACCCTAAACCCCTAAACCCCTAAAAACCCCTAAAAACCCCTAAACCCCAAAGTAGATCCCTTACAGAACCCTTTAAAGAACCCTGAACCCCTAAACCCCCTATCCTAAACCCTAAACCCCTAAAACCCCTAAGAACCCCTAAACTCCCTAAACCCCTAAGTAGATCCCTTATAGAACCCTTTGAAGAACCCTAAACCCCTAAACCCCCTAAACCCCCTAAAACCCCCTAAAACCTCTATATCCCTAAATAGATCCCTTATAGAACCCTTTAAAGAACCCTAAACCCCTAAACCCCAACCCTAAACCCTAACCCTAAACCCAAACCCCTAAACCCTAAACCCCTAAACCCCAAGGGGACGCCTCCCAGGCCCCGCAGCTGGCTCAGAGCCTCCCGGAGGTTCCCGGAGTGCACCTCCGGACCCAAGGCTACAAAGGGGCAAGCGCGTAGGATCTCTATTAAGGGCTATAGGGTCTAGGGTTTAGGGTTTTAGGGTTTTAGGGTTTAGGGTTGTGGATTCAGGGTTTAGGGTTCGATCTCTATACCCACAGGCCCCATAGTAGTTCCTTTTTTGTGGCTTATGTTTAGGATCCTATTCGGTAATCCCAAAAAGGCACTGCTATGGGGCCTCTGGGTAAGGGTTACCTAAGGGGTGTCTAAGAGGCAACTTTTGATGGGGTTACTATAAGGTATTACTATAAGGGTTACTGTACCTTCGGGGAGACTACTATAAGGGGTTGCTATGAGGCATTACTATCAGGGATATGAATGCAGATTGCTATAAGAGGCTTCGGGGTTTGGAGGGTTTAAAGCAAGGGCCGCGAAGTGGGAGATGTTAGGAGCCTGCATCGGCCTGGAAGCTCATGGTCAAAGGGGGTATACTGTTTTGAGAGCTAGGACTAGGGTCTCCCTAGAAGCCCAACTGCCTTCAAGGTTTAGGGTTTAAGGGTTTAGGGTTTTAGGGTTTAGGGTTTAGGAGTAGGTTTCTGTCATGGGCCCTATCAGAGTAGCCGGTTATTATAGGGTTTTTGCACCAGACGGTGGCTTCTCGCCAAAACCTCATCTCCATGCCCACCAAGCACTTTTCGACGAAAGGGTTGTATATTGTAGTATACTACAGTACCAACATGTACAAACTACTATGAAACAATATGAAATCATTCTCTGAGCTATAATCAACCCTAACCCTCCAGGTACCTACTATATAGGGCGTTAGTCGCTCTAGTAACCTATATAGTAGGTACCTGGGGGGTTAGGGCAAGCTTATTCGTGTTGATGCCAGGACTGAGCGTTAAGCACTTCACCCTATGCAAAACATGTCGGCGTTACAGATCTTGACATGAACCCCCAGTCCTCTGAAGACACGTCAAGAAAACAGCAGGGTTTATGGTTTTAGGGTTTAGGGTTTAGGGTTTAGGGTTTAGGGTGTAGGGTGTAGGGTTTTAGGGTTTAAGTCTTATAGGGTTTAGGTCAAGAAACCACTAGGGCATAGTCTCACAAAGAAGCCCGAAAACCGCAGGAACCAACAAGCTCGAGCCAAACAGCAACGCTACTCACCCCCGAATCCCAAATTCGAAACAAAAGCTCCGAACCCCAACCGAAATCCGAAAAAGGCCTACAAGTGCATGTGCGCTAGAACCTGCAAGCCCTAGCCCGAAGCCCTACAAGAAACCCAAACCGAGGCTCTCGCGAACTGCTCGCAGTCCTTCACTTTCCGGTCCCACGAGTTGACCTGGAGCGGGAAGGCTTTTGCCACCTAGGGCTTGGGGTTTAAGGTCTGGGGGGGCTCAGGGGTGTTGGGGCTTGGGAATTTGTTTAGGCGATTTCGGTTTGGGGGAGGTTGCAGATTTAGTGATTTAGGGTTGGGGGGTTCGGAGGTCACAGACTCGGGGCTGAGCAGGATTTCCACTTGTAGTCTATGGGACAAAAAGGGCCCCACTCAAGAAGACAAAACACCATAAGAAGAACGAAGCACCACCGATGTAACCCTCTAACACCGCAGGCAGTTCCGGATCGTGAGCCCGCAAACCGTCTGCCTCGCGCAGCGCGCTCAAGGCCGTCTCAACGCGGGTCCTTGCTGGGCGAGTGCACTTTCAGGAGTCTCAGCATTGGAACTTCATGTTGTAAGGGTTCTAAACAGAAATGCCAAGAGCAACTGCAGCAGCCGCAGCGATTGGCAGAAACAAATCTGAAGACAGTTCTCATGAACCCTGTACCCCAGCTGCTGAGACCACGAACCCGAACCCTACATCCCAAACCCGCCAACCTGACTAGAAACATGCCTAACGCAGCTCAAAAGGCTCTTGAAGTAACCCTAAGAGAACCCCTTGTAGAAAGCCCCGTAAAAGCCTTGCAAGTAGCCGCTTGGAATACCTTTAAGGGAACCCTTCAAGTCTACAGGAGCTAAACCCAGAAAGCTGAAACCCAAAACCCAAAAACCCAAACCCCCTAAACCCAAAACCCCCAAGTACCCCAAACCCAAAACTCCAAAACCCTACCCATACGCCCCATGGTAGTTCCTTTTTGTGGCCTTTTTTTTGGATCCTATTAGGTACTCCCAAAAAAAGAACTCCTAAACCCTAAACCCTAAACCCTAAACCCTAAACCCTAAACTATGGGGCCTATGCGTACACCCTGACCCCCTGAGAGGAGCGGAGCCCCGGGCTTCACCGCGTCGATCTCGGCCAGGCCCTTGAGACTGGCTCGCTTCTTGTCATCGGCGTCCTGGGGTTTAGGGTTTAGGGTTTAGGGTTAAGGGTTTAGGGTTAAGGGTTGAGGGTTTAGGGTTTAGGGGAGATCTTTCGAAGGCTCTTTAGGGCTTAGGGGTTCTTTTAAAGGGTGCTTGAAGGGCTCTGATAAGGGTTTTTGTTAAACGTCTTGGGGTTTAGGTTTCAAGAGTGTTTAGGGCTTTCGGAATCCTTTTCAGATTCCGATAAAGGCTTCGGTTCTTTAAAGATTCCGTCTCAAGTGCTTGAGAGTCGCAAATACGGGCTGAGATGAAGGGATCCTTGAAGGGTTCCAGTAAGGCTTCTAAGAAGAGTCCGGTAAGCTTTGCTTTGGCTCTAAAAGGATGCCGTTAGGGCTTCAAGGGCTAGTTGAGGGTTCTGGGTGTAATGGGGGCTTCTTTACATAAGGGCTTCTGATAAGGGGTTGAAACAAGAAGGAAGGGCCCCTTCAAAGCTTCCAATAAGCGCTCCAATAATGGGGTTCTGACAAGATACAAGGTTGTAATGTAGGTGCCTTAACAATTACCAATACTATTTTGGGGTTCCTTATTATAAGTCTAGTATAATAGACCACCCAAGCCCAATTGCAATTAATAAAGGCCCCTGTATTCGTATCACCGGCAGCCTTTTGAGCTAAAACGGTTGGGACTTCGGTTTGTTCGCTTTTTTCTTTGAGCCAAGTATGGGTTATGGGTTAAGGGTTTAAGGTTTAGGGTTTAGGGGTTAGGGTCTTTTTTTGCTCACTACATTATAACACCACCATAAACACTAAACATCCCTTAGCCCCTGAGCCCCCCGAAACACCAAACTTCTGAAACCCCCTATCTCCCTAAACCCTGCCACCTCCAAAACCAGCAAATAGCACAACAAGCCCTAAATTCCTTGAGCCGCTTACACCCCACAAACCCTTCATTAGGCAAAAACCCTCTCTGACTTCTAGAGCCCTGAAAGGTAGACCCCTTAAGGCCCTAACTTCTACACCCTCACACAACCCCATCGCCTCCACACTCCAAAACCCTAAACCCTAAAGCCTAAACCCTAAACTCTAAACCCTAAACCCTAAACCCTAAACCCTAAACTCTAAACCCTAAACCCTAAACCCTAAACCCTAAACTAAACTCCAGAAGCCCTTGGAAGGTCCGCGCCTTGAGCCCCTCGAGCACCTCGGCCATGCGCGCATGGCCGCTCAGGGCCTTCGGCGGCTCCGATGCTCCCAGAGACTCCAATACACCTTAATTAAGGAATATACCTTAAATTATAGGGGCCTTAAAGGGATCTATAGGGGTTTAGGGTTTAGGGTTTATAGGGTTGAGGAATATACCTTAAATTGTAGTTGGACTCCTAATAAGATTTAAGGTAATTAAGGGGTATTGGAGTCTCTGGGCTTTGGGCTTCTGTAAGCGGGGTTCGTAAGACATAAGGGTCCTGTATACGTAAGTAAAGGGTTCGGTTGAGGGGTTCCTTTTAAGGGTTACGATAAAGGGGGTGAGGGTTACTGGGTTACTTAAGGGCTTCTCCCGAAGGTTCCCTTTAATCTAATTACGACAAGTGCTGCTACAAAGGGCTAGGGGTACATGCTGTTTTCGAGAGTCTTGGGCTCCAGGGATTCCAAGTTTCAGGTGTTCAGGTGTTCTCTACAGAATATAAGGATTCTGGATTAGACCCTGTTGGGGTTCATAGATCTTTAGGGATTGGGGCTTCGGGAAGAGGGGGGCAGAGGTTCAAGAGGGCTGCAGACCAAATACCTGCGGACGTTCTGGTCTTTCGGCGCTTTAGGGGTTAAGGTTTGATGTTTAGGGCTTAGTGTCGGGGCCTACATAATTGCCGATACCATGTTGGGGGTTCCTTATTAAATCCAAAACGCTATTCTAATTATTAAGGCCCCTATATTAGGGGAAAAGGGCTTGTTTGTGTAGGTTTTTTTTTCCGTCGGGCTCAGGCATTCGGCGGTTTCGAGGTTAGGTCTTGTGAGCTTCCTCACGGGCTCCAGGACTCTCCAGGATGTGGGGAAGGAGTTGGGGGTGCAAGGTGTTAGAAGGCAAAATTGTGGGAACACGGCCCTACACCCTTGACCCAAAAGTCCTAAACTTTGCGAGCCTGAACCCAAGATCCTGGACCTGAATCCCAGAAACCCCGAAACCATAGAAACCCTAACATGCGAAGCCGCCAAGCAGTGTAAGTAACACCTGAACTCCAACAGCCCATAAAGCCTAGTGTAAGTAGGCCTAAGCCCGAAAAAACCTACACCCTTACAAAACCCTATACCCTCAGAAAGCCCTGAGCCCTCAACCCTGTAATCTGACCCGGTGGAGGGTTGGAGTGGTTGGAATCTGGAAGAGGGAATCTGAAACGAAGGTGTCCACTTTGACAAAAGAGAAGCTTGGAGGCCCTGAATCTAAAGCAGAGCAGCCTACATGATAGTTTTGGGGGGCCGAAGACTCCTATTGATCCCAGAATAGCTCGGCAGCATAAGCCTGAGTCCGGTAGAACCTTGTTGAACCAAGACCCGGCTCGCCTCTTGTCTCATCTTCTCCATTCCCCGGCTTGAAGTGGAGAGCTGCGCGACCTGCTTCGCGATGTGGAGTTCGGGGCTACGGCTGCAGGCTTTCTGTGTAGGATCAAAGTCTAGGGTTTCAGGACTTGGAGTTCTATTGCTTCGGGTATAGTTAGAGTTTCCTTTTTGCTGGGTGCTCTAGAGATGCCGGTTCAAAAACTTCAGGGTTCTGCTGACAATCACCAGATCATGAGCCTACCATTAGAAGCTTGACTAATGGTGCCTCCATGGGTTTCTGTACAGGCCTGACAGTGTTTCATAATAAGGAATAGCTAGACTTCGTCGCTTTGGTGGGACTCTACTCTAGCCTCCGGGAACTTTGAGGGATGTTATTTCTGCCTAGATACGTTAACGGGCAATTAAATGGATGTCTAGGGAAGGCAGTATCTTAATCCGTGTAGTGGTAGAGTGCCTGTTTGAGGGGTTCTGTTTTCAACAAACTTAGAAGAGGGTTTGGGTGGGCTTCGGCAATACGGTACTGGTAGTTGTTGTACTTCTAGATTCCGTAACCCCATCATAAAAAGGGCAAAGCGTCCTCCACTGTCGAATACCCCTGAAATAAAGGGGTCTATACTACTGCGGGACCTTGTACTCGTCTGCCTTTTCGAGGTTTCCGGAAGCCGGACAGCGTCGCTTGAGGCTCCCACCAACTGGTTACTTGCAAGCTCAATAGCTTCGGAGGTATCTTGGCAGAGAAGCTGACCTGATGCATGTCGTGCTGCTGTGGCTTGAAGCTGCAACCCTAAACCCTAAACCCTAAACCCTAAGACCCTGAAAGAGTCAGAGGTTGAAGTTTGCCAGGGCCGGGCCAAGGGAGCTAAGCTTTGCTTGGAATCCTTGAGTTCCGGGGCTTTGCCTTGGGTGTAAGGGTTCCGATGCAGCGGCTAGGTGTGCCTGAAGCCATGATATGTAAGGGACTACTAGGTTCCTGACTCGTTACAGCAAGCTTTGCAGTTTTGAACTTATCATACTTGGACGAGGCATGGAGCATAAAGTCATAGCATCCTAGTGCTTGGGGCTCTATTTTTCATGAACATCCATTCCGACATTTAGGGGCCCAGTAAGTCGCAGAGAGTTTGGATCTGAATGTGCATTTGAAGTCGATAACTATAATTGGTACAATTGGGTACACTAAGGAATGGAATTGCGGATTGTCCGGTATTGTCCGAAAGTTTTCGCACTCCTCCCTAGCCCCTGTGTCTGTGGATATAGCCTACTGCTTTACCCTCGAGGGTCCAACGCACCCAGGGTTAGTATTTCGGGGAATATATGACTCTTCTATACTGGGACTCTCAGACTCTTGGGGTAAGGGCTATACACAGCATACACGGTCAAACCCTACCACTGCATGTGGTTCCGGCTTCTGGTCCATCTTGGATCCGACACCCTTGACCCTGTTGGCCACTACTCCTTACAAGCCTCCCTCCACCAAACTTACACTAATTAGAATGTCGTATGTCATGCTAGACATAGAATATGAGATCATTGGAAATGTTATCAAGGAACAACATGACGAACACCTCGAAACCCCAGAAGCCGCGTTGACACACAACTGCTGAACAAGGCCCTCGTGTAAGTCCTTGTCATAGAAGACCTTGATCTCAAGATTGATAGAGGTTCCCTCTCTAAGTTCCACGAATACTAAGTCAACCTTACAAGAAGGTAAACTGGAATATCCTCTAGAGAAGCCAAAACGCGCACTGAGTGAGAAACAAGTGCTGTAGCAGCTCCCCACCCCCCAAGGCGCTGACAGCTCATTCCAAGAGATGACCTGGGAGTAGGCAGTGTTCACATTTAGCGCTTTGGGGTTGAGGGTTTCGGGTTGAAGGTGTTGCCTTGTCAATTTACTTTGCAAGTCTTCAAAATGTGTAAAGTTCGTGGCAAGGGTTCTACTTGGCATGACAGGCCCGGTAGCTTCAGGGGCTTAATTAAGCCTTCCAGAGTGCAGCGCTTAGAGATTCAAAAACAAAAAACCTAAACCCTATAAACAGATCCTAAAACCTATACCGAGGAAGGCGTTTGGGCTTTGGTATCGACGGCTCATCCTAGTCTTTTCGGGTTGGGATACAATACGGGGCTACTGTATAAAGGATCTATAGTAATTGATACTACAGGGATTCCTTAGTCATGGCTGCGAGTGGCACCCACCCTCAAGAACTTCTCCAGGCGCTGTACGCAAGATCTGCTGAGGTTGTTCTTGCAGGTCTGAAGCACGTTTTCATACTTTCGGCGGCCAGGATTGATTTGATGTTTCTACGCATGCAAGACGAACCCTGCCGCAACTGAAGTCGAAGGCATCCCGCAGCCAGCACACGCCGACGACGTTCTAGAGAGTACGATTGCTCTTAACGAGCATCTGCCTGCGCCGTGTTGCAGATGGTCGCCGGAGCATCCTGCTTCAAGGCGCGTGGCTTCAGTCCAGAAGCGTGTGCTGCGATCGAGCTGCACCAGCATTCCGGAGCTGTGGTGTCGTTGCCCGTGAAGAACGTTCACGGCAAAAACCCGGGGCGGCCACTCAAATACACGCGTTCTCTGCTACACCATGTAATAAGCCCCAGCCTAGAACAAGCGAAGTCATTAGTTCATGGACATGACAGAGCTCCAGATCCCCTGTGATACCAAGCATCATAATCTCTGAAACCCTAACCAATAAATCCGAAACCCTAGACTGAGGGCTCAACAAGTGTTGATCCAGTTTGTCAAAGGGCACATGGCTCCGCGCGAGCCTGGAGGCGTTCTTAGAACAAGGTTTCGGGAATATTTCTCTCCACTTTCAACAATCGGGCATCTGGCTCACCTCCTGAATCCTAAACTACACCAGTAGCTCCTAACCCTGCAGAATCGTAGGGTCATTACCGCTCACACATGCCAGAAGCCAGCAACCTGTATACTGGATTGCAGTTCCGCATACCTCGTACTAACATGTAATAGCCTGCAATGATACCTAACACCCAGTAACCGACTACATAGTGTACTGGGTATCTATTCCAGGATAGCAAGCAAATGGAGTCACACGTATGGCCCGGCACAAAGCCTTCAAACGACGCAGGAACCCTAAAATAACCTCCAGCAATTTCCAAATCTGCAGGAAGCAAGGCTTTCCTTCGATTCTTTTGGCTCCGTTTCCAGCTATACACAATTAAGGACTACCGGGTCACATCCCCTTAGGGTGTAGGGTTTTCAACTTTGTTTGGCTACTTCGGATTGGGGCTCCGGGTTTGGGTGCTGAAATTGGTTGGGCACATGAAGTCTTACTTTAGATGCCTGAACTCCTGAACTTTAAGTTCTCGTTGAGTCACAGTCACAGCTTGAATTCCTGAAACTCAGTCAGCCATTTAGGCCTTAAGGCCATTTGGAACAGCAAGGTCCCTGCCTGGCATTGAGCCAGGCGACTGGGTCGAAGGCCTCGCGGATGGTGTCTACCGAGTGTGAACCTATGTATATAGGGCACATAAGCAGTACGTAGATACAAAAAGATATGATGCGTGTATGTATGTATGTATGTATGTATGTATGTATGTATGTATGTATGCATGTATGTATGTATGTATGTGTATATATATATATATACATGTGGTGCATGTATAGACAGGTAATACTAATTTAAGGTGTACATATAAACTAACATACGGATAGTATACGTACATACATACATACATACATACATACATACATACATACATACATACATACATACACACATATATGTTATAGAAAGAGAGAGACAATGTGTATATATGTGAATGTATGCATATGCACAATTATGACTATGTTTATATGTGTACACACAAGTAGATATACGGAGATAGTGCGTGTGGATAGATACAGGTGGATAGGTAAATAGATAGATAGGTAGATAGATAGATAGATGGATGGATCGTTTGGCAGAGAGCAGATGGATAGGTAGATAGATAGACAGGTAGATACATAGATAGATGGATAGATAGATAGATACATAGATGGACAGATGGAGCATGAGACTTCATCGACTCCACATCTGGCCGTGTCCTCAATCGCTGCAAGCACCATAACCGCCATCGCAAGCAGACAGCACTGGCACCAAGCAGCAACAGCACCGGCACCAGCAACGGCAATGGCAACAGTGACATCCACGACACCGATGGCCACCGCAACCTCAACCACAACAGCAACAGCAACAGCAACGACGACTGCAAAAGCAGCAGCAACAGGAAAGCAGCAGCAGCAGCAGCAGCAACAGAAAGAACAAACACCTCTATTTGTACCGACGACAGCGAAGCAGCAGCCCGACCATTGCTGGTGCAGATACGCGAAACTCGATCCGCTACCGAGCTCGAGAGTACAATCCGCAAAAGCAACTGAGACGTTGACAGAAAAGCAGAAAACACCCACAGAAACAGTATGTCCAAAGCCAAATCACGCATGAACAGAACCAGGCCTCCGTAGGAGAAGGTGTCTTGAAGTCCTGCTTGGCCAAACCCCAAGCTTAAACAGAGGACCCAGCTACAGCTTCTCATTTAGAGGTGCGGAGTGTCATCACTGGGTTTGGGGACATGTATATAGTCGCTGGCTGCAAGGCTGCAAATGGACGATTCGGGTCCTAGGCATTTGCAGGGCTCAACGCTTACCTTTGGAACTTCAACCAGCCCTGTCGGGCCCGACTTTTTAAATGCCTCAGCTTTATAGCCTCATAGTACCCTTACGGGAGTAAGGGAGTTCCCTTAGAAACTGGGGGATTAGGTGATTATACATCTCCCTTGGAGCCCCATCCCTTCAGAATCCCGCAAGAGCCAATGTTCCGAGCTCTGGCAATCAGGTCAAAGACGCTGCCGAAAGCGGTCCTACCCTGAGCGCCAGATCTCTCGAAACCTTTAACCCTGATATACTATACCCTAAACACCCCAAACCAAAACGCAACATCAGCTAAATGCTCAAAACCGGAAAGAGAGTCAAGAGACCATCCGGGTCCAGAATAGGAAGCCGGTTGTGACCTGAACAGAACGAAAGGGAAGGCCCGGTCAGGGAAGCCAAGCTCACATAAGGTCAAACTGAGAACGCAAATAGAGCACACTACCCATAGGCCCCATAGTAGTTCCTTTTTTGGATTACCGAATAGGATCCAAAATATAAGCAAAAAGAAGGAACTACTATGGGGCCTATGGGTATATGGAAATAAAAACCATCCAACCTCAAGAGGCACGTGTAGTAAGAAGCCCGTCTGAATCCCTTCCAAGGCCCCTCAAACCTGGCAAAAACACTTCAAACACCGCTACCAAAACCCTTAGACTCAATTGTAGCCCTAACCCCCCAGGCACCTCCTATATAGGGTACTAGAGCCCCTAAGGCCCTGTATAGTAAGTACCTGGAGGGTTAGGGTAGGCTGTCCTCTACTACCAAGCGTTCGGGGACCTCTGATGCCATGGCGAGGGATTTTCTCCGAGGTTTTCGGCTCGTGTGGTCTGCAGGCGTCTGGGCTTCTGGAGTTTAGGGGTTTAGGGGTTTAGAGCTTGTATTTTTCTTGGGGGTTTGGCGCCTTGTTATGGGAACTTTGGGTCTCGGGCGTCCAGGTTTTGGGTGTTTTTGGGGCTTAAGCAGCCCGGGATGTTCAGGATTGAAGCTTCTCAGAGTGTAGCTGAATGGCTATAGGGCTTCGATGAAAGGATTTTCAGGATTGAAGCTTCTCAGAGCGTAGCTGAATGGCTATAGGGCTTCGATGAAAGGTGATAAGAAAAGGGTGACCTTGCGAGTAAATGTTGAGGCTTGTTGGGGGTTCGGGGGTTTTTGGGTTCAGGGTCTTGAAGTTTCAGGTTTAGGCTTCAAGGCTTTGGGGCTAATAGGTTTAGGAATGCGGCCGGCGGGTATTGGCTTGGCGCGCCGACTATCCGTTCATGATTTGTGCTTGGGGGCTGTTTTAGTGTAGGCTTCTCGGGTTTTCTATGCATCGTCTTCCTTGCCTTTCATGTTCGTTTTTCTGTAGGCTGAGCCGGATATCCGAGAATGTACGCAGAGCGTTGCAGACCTGATTGGAAGTGGGAGGCTCCCGTCCGGAAGACTCGAAGCCGAGCACCAAGCGGAGCTCGAAAGCCGGAAGAAACCCGGAACTCCCAAATCCGAGTTTTTCGGGGCACTCCAAAGCAGGGTCGCTTCCAGCATCCGGGTTTTCATGCAATGACACTGCCCCATCTAGAACAAATGCCAATTCTGCATACAGGAAACCTGAACCCTGTATCCTGCACATGGACCCTTACTTACTTAGGGTATGAGTCGGTATGAAATAAGCAGACGGATAAGACAGGCCGCCCAGAGACAGAAGACAGATGAGCCACGGATCGAAAAAAGTGCTCAAGTTCGCACAGGGTCTCAACCTCAGCCTTAACAACATGCTTCTTGGCTCTTGGTGTTTCTGTGGCCTCAAAGCCTGCAAAATAGCAAGGTTTTATGATGCCATAATATGCCATAAAAGCTTTTAAGGATATGACGGTCAAACTCAAAGGTTAGTGGATCCTCAAGCTGTGTTCCTGTGCCTTCTGCGTCCTCAACGCCGCCTGTGCTGGTCTGTTCTTTTTCTTCAGCGCGTGTTGGCAAAGTCTGAGACGCTTCGAAGCGGTGAGGCATGTCTCGCCCGGAAACCCTCCCTAGACCCTAAACCTAAACCCTAAAACCATAACCCTAACTAATCCCTAAGCCTTAGGTAGGTTAGCTTTGAGGTAGGGTTGAGGGCTTAAGGGCTGATGGTCTAGAAGAGACGGAATGAACACTTCAGGAGGCCCTGGGTCTTCTAAAGTTTCGGTTTAGGGCTTAGGGTTTAGGGTTTCTAGGATTACGGTTTAGGGTTTTGTTTTAGGGCTCGTGGAGTTGTCTGAGGTTTCGGGCGTCTTCTCAGGCTTATTTTTTCCCGAAAACTAGCATTTTGATTTTGGGCAGCAGCTGGTGACTTGCAGAATTCTTACGTTTCAGAGGGCTAGGGGTTTGCAAGGGACAGGGGAAGGTTGAAGTCAGACGTGGGAGCTTAGGCTCAGTTCGTGCGAGCTCTGGGTTCGAGATGCTTAAGGGCTTTCTGTCTCGGGGCATACAGTCCTCGGCGGTTTCGGGGATCAAGAGACAGCCCCTCTCATCGGAAAATCGGAGAGTGCATTCTGAGAATCGACTCTATGTCTGGGACTAGTGGCGTCGCTGGGTCGCAGTCAGTTTCGTGATCGCGGCCGGTGCTAGAAGGGAGCTTCGAAGACAAAGAGCGTGCTTTTTGTCGGGGTTTAGGGCATAGCATTCAGGCTTCGACAGCTAAATGTCTTCCGAACGAAACGTATTAGTCCTTCACCGGGGATCCCTGAACCCTATAAGACCATCGCAGATCTTCGGAATCTCCCAGAAAGACATCTCTTGGAGACCTCTTGCGGTCGGCACGGACGCTGGGGAACCTCTAGTTGCAGCAACCAGACGAGGTCGGCAAAAGACCGAATTCGAAATCTCAAACAGTACATAATTTCTAAAGTATAAGAGCAATAATCATAGTCATAGTGGTAGTAGTAGCGGTAGTAAGGGAACTAGTGATAGTCATAGTCATAGTCACAATCACAGGCATAGGTTTTGTAAAAGTAGTAAGCGCAATAGAAGTAGTATTCGGAATAGTAGTAGAAATAGTGATGGTCACAGAAAATAAACATAGTAGTAGGTTTAGTAGTAGGTGGTAGTGGTAGTGGTAGTGGTAGTGGTAGTGGTAGTGGTAGTGGTAGTGGTAGTGGTAGTGGTAGTGGTAGTGGTAGTGGTAGTGGTAGTGGCAGTGGCAGTGGTAGTGGTAGCAGTAGTAGTAGTAGTAGTAGTAGTAGTAGTAGTAGTAGCAGTAGCAGTAGTAGTAGTAGTAGTAGTAGTAGTAGTAGTAGTAGTGGTAGTAGTGGGAGCAGACTAGGAATGATAACAAAAGTAGTCGTAATGGCGACAATAATGGAACTAGCAGTAGCAGTAGGAACAAGACAAGCAACTACAGCAGCCATAGCAATATGAATGAGAAGCTTACTCGCAATAGCAATAGGTAGGACTGCAGCTTTCCATAAGGGCTCAAAGGACCCCCACCATTATTCGGTACAACTAGTGTAAGGTCAACAATTTGTAGGTTAACTTTGGGGGAGTATATGACAATTAACTACGTGGACCCCTGGGGTAAGGGCTGCATGGGGTTCAGGGCTCGTGAGACTCATGAGTTCGACGCGAGGCTCACTGCACAAAGCTCAGGTGCTTCAACTCTTTAGGGCTTGTATGGCTTTATAGGGTACATGTGAATATGTAAATTTGGAGAACTATGTGAGGATACCAGTACCAAGTGTTCCGACCCCTACGGTCCAAATAGTAGTAGTTGAAGCTCCCCCGCAAACGACAGAGCAGTAGACCCCAACTACGGAGCAGTAGAGTTACCTAAAGCGCTTACCGCTATCCCTCAACAAGGCAATAACAAATGCGAGAGACACTTTCAACAACGAAAAAACAGCATGGGCTGTAGACGGCTATAAACCCTAAAGCCGTATAACTCACACAGAACCCCAAACGCCTTGAACTCCCTGTCGCTTCTCCGGTTCACTGCACCCGTGGTGTATGTCCATGCACCAGTTTCAAACACTGCATGCCACCTGTACAGAGCAGGATGTTTACTACTAGTGCCGAGACCCCCAAACCAAGCCCCTAATGTAGAAGCCTAAACAATTAGAATAGGGTTGGGGGGGGGTATATTATACTATAATGAAAATAAGGAACCCCCCAACACCCTATTCCAATTAATAAGGCCCCTATATTAGTTTCAAGAGCCCCTTCGAAAACCCCCGCAACCCTCCCCATCCACGTAAAAAGCCCGATTCAAAAGACGTTACGGCTTCCTCGCCAGTCGCCACTGTGCGGCATGAGGCTCGTGCGCTTGTGAAGCGTTGATGTGTCTGCCGGCAGTCCAATCTGCAGTCTTGGGAGGTTAGTTGAAAACTAAGAGCCTTATTCACGGGTCTATGGTGAAGAAGCATCAGTGGAGTCTGAACCCAGCAGGTGTGGGGTCGTTCGTCTACGGCTGCTTGCATCCCAACCATCCAAACATCCAAAATACTGCTTCGCTGCCCTAAACCCTAAACCCTAAAGCCCTAAACCCCTAAACCCTAAACCCCTAAAGGTGCGGTGGTCGGAAGGCTTTGCAAGTGCGGAAGCTTTCAGGTTCGTGGCCTTTCTGATCTGTGCCCAAGAAATATAGGTCCTTGGGTTAAGGGCGGACTGGTATCTTGGTGAATTTATGACTATAGTACATGCCATGAGGTACATGGGCGCTCACGTACAACCTACTATCGCAATGAGCCAGGGACAATGAAGCTTAAACTTCCAGAATAGCACTAGGCTTTTGACCTCCATCCGGTTCAACTTGCTCGAGGTTGTGGTTGTAGCATTAACGTGAGGTTTCGAGCTCTAGCGTTTAGTAGGAGTGTCGGCCAACTGTCG